ACTAGTACTATATCACATCGTTCTGAAGTCGTAGCATTTGCTTCATTGTGATTGGCTTGCTTCGTCTAACCGTAGCAAACCAATCATAGCGCTGTATTTGGAACTTTTTGCAGTGGTCAGATTGAAACTGACCGTTGCAAAAATTCGCAAATACGGCGTGCTGATTGGTTTGCTACGGTCAGACGAAGTAAGCCAATCAGAATGAGGCAAAATGCTACTGTTTGCAATAGTCGCATCGACTTCAGAGCGATGCTGGCTTGTTATTGCCGTGTCGGCTCCTCGTTGTAATCGAATAGTCGGTAAATTTTAATCGCCGCTCGTTCCAAGGAGAAAGATATGGCGGCTTCTACATGACTCCACGATCTTCTGTGTATAATGAACGAATGTAAACGTGTTTCATACTTTCATTTAACGAAAAGGTGCGCGAAAGAATTCTGATCGAAAGCTTTTGGTGTGCGATTATTGGCATGATTTGCATTTCCCGCGATGTGAACTGTGAAGACAGCGCTGTTTGAATCACCTCCGTGTCAGGTCAGTCTCATGAATAGTATATTAAATATGTAAATAACATATCGAATTTTACACAGTTCATGCGTCTCGAATATATTACCATATATTTGCTGATGAAACGTATCATTATAAAAATGCAGAACAATATCAATGGCCACTCACACTATTTGATAGCCATTGCCGGTGTCAAGCGAAATTCCTGACCTCTGCTAAATACCTGACCTAGCGTGACGGGTCAGAAATTTCGCGCGTACAGGCGCGAAATACATGACGCTTGCTAAATTCTAAGTCGGCCAAAACTGTTTTTTAGAGTTTAGATAAAATAATCATGATGTTAATTTCTAATACTTCGTTAATTAAATATTTCAAATCGACATCGCTAAGTTTCAATCACAAACACTTTAAATTTCAAAGCGAATTGTGTGGTCGATCGTGACCGCGAAATACACGACGTTTGCTAAATACGGTCGGTCGAAACGATTTTTAATCCATATGCGATGTTACCAAATGTTTCTATAGCATAGACATCGCCAAATCTAAACGGCCAACTCATGAACTTCGAACTCATCGTTGCTGCTTACTAAATAGTGAGAAGGTCAAACGCGAACCGATTTTTAGTGCTTATAGTATAGTAATGCATATACGGCATAACCTTTGAAACTGGCGTCTATTTTATATCATGCACTAAGATCGCTTTTCGAGTGATTTTTCCATATCAACGATTCAAGGTTTATTATAACGTTCACAATCAGTGGTATAGTGTCAATTCAGTTGATCAATTGTAGAATTAATGTTGGAAAATTTATGTATAAATAAAATGGCTTTATAAATACACGTGTTGTCTGTTCAGTTGCGAAATTTATGAGCCAAAGTCATTCATGCGCATCGTCTGCGCATGGGCAGTTCTACAATAGTCAGATATTTCGCAAGTCAGGAATTTCGCGTCACACCGGCATGCCATGTGTGTTTATATTAAGAAATATGTTAGTTAATCTCCTATATATTTTATATCTTAGACTTTGCTCATGTAATTATTAGTTGTAGACCTGTAGTCTATAAAGACTAGTGAGTAGTGTAAATGAAATTTATAGAAATAGTTACACTCCGATATATTATATTGTAGTTTACATGTATACTAACAGAGTTTAGAATTACAACAGCTGAGCCTGCTTCCTGGGATAACGTATCATAAATATATATGGTTAGCTGTTTCAAATCCATGTATTGTATACCTTACTTGTATTAAAATTCGCGTCGTATACTCATTTCGTTCAGCTTTAAATTCGCGCATTCCAATTTCGCGAAACTTGTTCGCGCAGCTTTAAATTCGCGCAAGTAATTTTCCGTGTTGGTTCCTTTTGGTTTGATTAATAGAACTATAACAACAAATACTTCAATATTTGTCAAAACAAAATTCATGATAACAGTAAAGCCTGGTTCACATATGCCTGCGGCATACCTGCGACTGTATCATTATGCCTCTATACTTGCCGCCGAAATACCGGCAAAGTTGAACTCAAGTCTCAAGTCAACTTTCCCGGCCTACCGCCAATGTAACTGTGGCTATGGAGGCAATCGGCGAACAAATGTTCACATAATTTACGTTTTAAAGCTACCATCGGCATCGTCGCCGGTACGTCGCAGGCATATATGTGAACCAGGCTTAAAGCGTATAAAGTTCAAACTTCAAAATGTATGGTTTTCATTTGCCTAATACAATAACAACAACTAATTTTATTAGCATCCCATATATTATAGGTTCGTATATGGTATTGCCTTACATTATATTATTTACTAACAACGAGTGAATATTACACCGCAAAGCTTTTCGCGTGGATTATATTTCCCGCAGTACTAAAATTTGCGCACCCAGCTCTGCGCGAATTCCTGCAGTATTGCTCGAATTTTAGTACAAATAAACATATACAAATAAACATTTTTCCTAATTGCCGTTGTGCTGCTGTTTCAAGATGATCTACAAATAAACATTTTTCCTATAACTTGGAGATAATCTATATACAGTACAGAAAATATTTCAGTTTCCTGACTGCCATAAGTTGTCCTGCTGTTTCGGATGATCTATATATGCTGCTGCTTAGCCAGATAAACATTGTCCCTAACTGTCGTTGGGCCGCTTTTTCAAGATGATGTACATTTGAAAACTTTCGAACTACTGTTATCTTACTTTTTCAAGACAATCTGTTGTTCGAAGTGGTATGTTGATGAATAAATTTTGTAACTTTTGTGCGTTTTTTTCTTATTTTGGTGTGAAAAACAGCCACTTTTCTACAAATTTTAAATCTAATTTCGATGCTCAGAATGCAGGAAATGGTACTTGCGGGATTCAAATTTCAAAAATTTTCTGGGGGGGCATGCCCCCAAACCCCCCTAGGTAGGGCGTGGCCTTCGGCCCCGCATGTTGATTGCATCCAAAATGCTACGGTCAGATTGAGACGCTGAATCCGCCCCTGTGAATGTATGGAACTATTGCAAAACCCTTAACAGAGGTATCACCCTCGGAGTTATTTTGGTTCCTACAAACAGGTGGTCACAGGCAATCATTAAGAAAACGCTTTGGGTAATTGTTTTCCCCTAAAACATTTAGAACATATTCACGTTCATTAGCTTGAAAATCACTGTTTGACGGCAACGATTCAGCTCTTTGAAGCAAAGTTTTTGCTACGGATATTTTATGGCTTACTGGGTGATGAGAGTCGTATGACAAGTATTTGTCTGTGTGTGTGGGTTTGCGATAAACCTCAGTCTCTAACTTCCCTTCGACAGTTCTGTGCACATTCAGATCTAAAAAAGCTAAATATCCATTTATCTCACGTTCTACCGTGAATTGGATGGACGGCTCAATAGAATAATGTCCCTATCGTTTTGGAAACGTTTCGTCGATGATGTCATCTCTGCTGTTCCTACAAATCCGATCGGTATTCTGCTGCAACATTTAAATTCTATTTCGTTTTCTTAATGATTGCCTGCGACCACCTGTTTGTAGGAACCAAAATAACTCCGAGGGTGATACCTCTGTTCAGGGTTTTGCAATAGTTCCATACATTCAAGGTGTCACAGAACCAATCAAGAGAATCTTAAGTAATTGTAATATTAAGGTTGCCTTAAAACCCTATTTTACTTTAGGCCATATTTTCGCAAAGCCAAAAGATCCTGTTGAAAAAAATCAGAAGACTCATGCTATATATTCTATACCATGCGGTGACTGCGACAAAGAGAAGTTGGGTCAGTCTAAACGCCAGTTTGGTACACGGCTAAAAGAACATCAAAAGGCTGTTTCAACTTTAGACAAGGGAAAATCAGCTTTAGCCGAACATGTATGTTACACCAAACACGAGATTGCGTGGGAATACTCTAAAGTAATTACCACAAAAAATCGCTATGGTCAAAGACTTTGCCTGGAAGCGTGGCAAATAAATATGAGTCATCATGCTTTGAATAGGGATGACGGTGCCTATTTGCCAGAGGAATATATGCATGTTCTTGGCAGGTGACGTCATCCCTTGGGTATTTAAGAAACCACGATCACAGTTTTAGATCACCCCTGATAAAGACACTAGACTTGAGTGTCGAAACGTTGGGTCTTGATTACAATTCGATTGGGCTTTGTAATCATTTATTTAAACCAGAGTAGCAAGCGAAACATGATTGATATACCTGGTTGCAATCATGCAACGAACAAACTTATATATATATATATATATATATATATATATATATATATATATATATATATATATATATATATATATATATATATATATATATATATATATATATATATATATATAGGCTATATATTACATTCGTACTTCAGCATTCAGTTTACTTCAGGCTATTAATTAATATTGCCACACATGCAGGTTAGTATTTATTTCCAGAAAATTTAAATATTTTCCGCTAAAGGTTAATGATAACTAATGGTATAATAGACTTTATATTAGTACCTGAATAACCCCAAGTTTACCCCAAGTGTCCCAACAAATCCAAATATGTACCCTGAATAAAAGTCGCGGTTACCAAGCCTTCAACGGAAAGTGATCCCAAAAAATTTTCTTCGTTCCGAACGCGTTTTGGAACGCGTTCCGAATGCGTTCGCAGAATTAGGTTACTTCTGAGCAGTACTGTACTTGGCACCGAAATACAGTTTATCCCATTTTTATGGTTTATTGACAATGCCTAATTATCTATTATTGACCATGTGCGATTTAGTTTCGTTTTTTTAATTCAAAGATAGAGTGCTCGTGTCAATTATATGATGTGTCGTACGTGGACCGATCATTTACCCATCTGCTTGTTTCACCGCCGTGTTTTACTGCATCCTGACTGAACTCACTGGAAGCTTGTGATTGAAAAAAACGCTCATGCCATATGTTTGTAGCTCCGACTATTATTTAGAGGCTAAAGATTCGAATACTAATTTTCATTTATAATCTTAAGAATGTCACACAAGAATGTTTGTTCCATCTCACCTGTTGGGTACTGGGATTGCTCCACAATGGCGAGGTCATTCAAACGGGCAAGCGGTTTTGGTAAAGAAATGTTTCGATATACAACACCCGTGGATACATTCATCTGCTGAACTACTCTTGTCTCCAAAGTTTGGAGGTAGAGGAAATCTCCGAATACGGTCATTGCACCAATTTTCCCTTCAGCAAATGAAATATTTTTCAACAAAACACCATCATAATCGAAGAAACAAATATTTTTGCTCGTATTACTCTTTCGATAATAGTACAGTTCCTTGCTGAAATAATCGAAATAAACCATCGATTGGCCATCTTTGATATCGCCGAATTTCTGATCCTCCCCGACAAAATTAGTTCGGGTCAGAGTTGATCCACCATTTTTAAAAAAGATATATCTGAGCAAAGAAGAATATAAAACAGTTACGTGAAGTTGGTAAATTTATTTAATTATAGAGCTATGCAACTGTGACATGTAAATACATATATGGTGGCCTATCGCTGAGATAAGGAAATTCATAAAAAAATGTTTAATTTTTTTTTATTTTTTTTTTTACATTTTTATTATTTTTTATTTTATTTTTTTATTTTTATTTTAAAAGAATTTTATTTGAAAACAAATCAATGTAAAAACAAAATGAAACGATATTAAAAACAAATGAAAACAAAATCAAAATTACCTATATGGCTTATCGCTGCCATAAGAATTTTTTTGGGGAAAGTAAATTGAATTTAAAAACACCACTGGCCAATCGCTGCCATAGATCAATATATGCATTGCGGTCGGAAAAGAGGATATTTTGTTTCAGCAGAGTGGAAGCTCTAACTCACATGTTTTCAAAATAGCAGAATTCTCGAGACAAAACGAAGCAAAAAAGAGCAGGAAAAACTATCGAAAGAGGGAAAAATTGAAGAAATAGTTGTACATCGCCAAAGCTGAGATGTCTCGGGCAAAGCACAAAAGTACAGCAGAGTCGAGGCGCGAGAATCCGTGCAGTTTGGTGAAAAGGATATGAGCTTGGAGAACAAAATATATTCCAGAATTGGTCCAAACACGATTTGTCATATTGCCACTGGAGAGCAACGAGCCGTCATATTGTCGCTATCTATAGGGGCCAATACAGGGGTCGTCATATAGGGGCCTATATATGGGAGCCGTATATAGATAGTATATAATATATTGGCCATATTAGGGCCAATTAGCCTTTCTCACGCCGACATTTTTGGGTGTCATTACAGCGTTTGGGTGGCAACTTTTTGGACAAATGATGGTAAATTTGCTTTGTAAATGGTTAGTTTATTTCGAAAAATTGCTTTTCACATTGTTTTTAATTGTCTGCATTGGTTAACGAGAATTAGATGCCACCCAAAAATGGCGGATATTCGTGATCGTGAGAAAGGCTAATTAAATGACTAGTTTTCGAATCTGCATGCCACATGCGTGTCTGGTATCTGAATTAGCGTGTGTGGTTTTAATTCGTAGTTTTCATTTTTTCATCAAACATAACAAAGTAAAATAATGTTTGTTACAGTACTTCATGTTCTATGTTAGTTTATTATTTTGCTTTCGTTGCATGCCAGGGCCTTTTTAAAGAATTTGTCCGTTGGGCATGGTCGAATTTTCAGGGGAGGAATTTTAGCCCATTCTAAGTCCTAACATTCGATGGGGGTTGGGAGCTTGACTGTTGCACTTTCCATAAATTTCCATCAGAATCCGGCCTTGCCACAGGGAGAGAGCAATCTACAAAAAGGGACCACACTATTGTATGTAATAGTAGGGGCGTCTGGGGTTTTATATTTTTCACCCCTAGGACTACATTTCGTGCATTTTCTGAACAGATTTTTGGATGCACAGCATTACATACTGTAGATATATTCTCAAAATGTTCTGTTAAGTACTTCCTTAATTGCATGTTTATATGTAAATACCACAACTCGGTCTGGGATATGCTATCCAATGAGGCACAGGTTATGTATTCAGGACACAATGTTTAGCATTTAAAAAAAGACATTGAATTATTTGAAGATAAAAGACAGAACATAAGATTTACAAAGCAAATTTCAGTTACTAGAATATCAAACCTCCCTTCCAAATTCCATTTTTTGTTTTTCTTATATTTTAGATAGAAGAGACTTCTACTGGGGGCCAACATGGTTGAATACAAGTGCTGGGGGCGTCATTGGGGCTGGGGTGGCTTTGGGCCCCAAGTTATATACTCAAAAAAGGCTCTGTTAATGCTTGCATGCAAACACTCGAAACAGTACTATCGTTAATATTGTCTAACATATCCATGCACTATACATCTATATGTCTATTTCACATATCTGCAATTTGTACTTACCTCAAGGTCCATTTACATTATCTTACCAATATATATATATATATATATATATATATATATATATATATATATATATATATATATATATATATATATATATATATATATATATATATATATATATATATTCTTGCGGCTCAACTCTGCTGTACTTTTGTGCCTTGCCCGAGACATCTGAACTTTGTGGTTGTACAACTATTTCTTCAATTTTTCCCTTTTTCAATAATTTTTCCTGCTCTTTTTTGCTTCGTTTCGTCTCCGGAATTCTGCCATTTTGAAAACATGTGAGTTAGTGCTTCCACTCAGCTGAAGCAAAATATCCTCTTTTCCGACCGCAATGCATATTGGTCTATGGCAGCGATAGGCCACTGTTGTTTTTAAATTCAATTTACTTTTCCGAAAAAAATTCTTATTGCAGCGATAGGCCCTAGGTAATTTTAGTATTGTTTTCATTTGTTTTTAATATCGTTTCATTTTGTTTTTACATTGATTTGTTTTCAAAAAAGTTCTTTTTAAAACAAAAATAAAAAAAATAAATAAAATTAAAAAAAAAATAAAAAAAAAATAAATAAAAATAAAAACTAAATAAAAATTTTATGAATTTCCTTATGCCAATGATAGGCCACCATACATGTAACTGTGAAACTTTTAAAAAACTATAAATAAAAGTTCATGTTGTTTTGGTTATGCATCGACATGAAAAAAATTTTCCGAAAAAAATTCTTATTGCAGCGATAGGCCCTAGGTAATTTTAGTATTGTTTTCATTTGTTTTTAATATCGTTTCATTTTGTTTTTACATTGATTTGTTTTCAAAAAAGTTCTTTTTAAAACAAAAATAAAAAAAATAAATAAAATTAAAAAAAAAATAAAAAAAAAATAAATAAAAATAAAAACTAAATAAAAATTTTATGAATTTCCTTATGCCAATGATAGGCCACCATACATGTAACTGTGAAACTTTTAAAAAACTATAAATAAAAGTTCATGTTGTTTTGGTTATGCATCGACATGAAAAAAATTTTCCGAAAAAAATTCTTATTGCAGCGATAGGCCCTAGGTAATTTTAGTATTGTTTTCATTTGTTTTTAATATCGTTTCATTTTGTTTTTACATTGATTTGTTTTCAAAAAAGTTCTTTTTAAAACAAAAATAAAAATAAAAAAAATAAAATTAAAAAAAAATAAAAAAAAAATAAATAAAAATAAAAAATAAATAAAAATTTTATAAATTTCCTTATGCCAACGATAGGCCACCATACATGTAAATGTGAAACTTTTAAAAAACTATAAATAAAAGTTCATGTTGTTTTGGTTATGCATCGACATGAATCATGTATTCCATGAGAAATGCCGACAAATGCTTCAGATAACAAAACACCAAAACCCTGTCGACAAAAATTTCCCGACAAAAATATCCCGCCTGGTTGTTTTTTTGTTATACAGAAATTAATTTCATAGAATTTTGAAGATATAATTAATTTTATTATTGAATGTTTTTTAATTAAAAATTATGTGATAATCAGACAAGAACAATGATTCACGTATAGATGCAATAATTTAACTATCCTGAACAATAAACTAAAAGTCATGATGTATCCTCTTGGAGCTTTTCCCATTATGACAGGTTTTTTTTCGATTTCTCTATTACTCCAATATTGTTAAAAAACGTGAAATTTCAAGTTCACTCATAACAAAAATGACTCGCATTACTATACTAGAAAGCTCATAAAAACTACATATAAGACATTTAAACAGTCACCTATATTTTTCGAGCGGTTTTGGAGTTATTCCTGTTCCAAATGTGACAAGTTGGCCAAAATCTGGCAAAAATCCTGTGTACTGGTCTGACAACACGTTTGCAACAGCTCATAACACAAGAAGAACTTGCAAAATCAAGGTAGCCGTTTAAATGTCTTAAATGTAGTTTTTTGTAAGTTTTCTAATGATGTAACTTATTTTTCCTATAAATGAATCTGAAATTTCATTTTTTTAACAATACAGGAGTTCACTAGGGAAATAGAACAAAAAACTTGTCATAATGGAGAAAGCTCCAAGAGGCTACATGAGGACTTTTAGTATGTTATCAAGGTTGCTGAAGAGAGTGCATGCATACGCTAATTTTTGGCTTTTTACTAATTTTTCTGACCTATTTTCGAATTTGATTGTACTACTACTTCTGTTAGATAAGTTTACAACACACACCTCTAAGATACAGTATATGGGTAACAAATTGTTCATATTTTCCGAAAACGAAAGTTGACACAAGCATATTAAATGCATTACTCCTGAAAACATCCACATCATCCCTACACAGCAAATGTGAGGATGCAAGCCCCTACCTATTTGTAGTATATCTGAATGCTTTTATCATGGTAAATTCTTCCCCTCCAGACAGCAGAATATTGTCATTCCAAAAAAATATATATATATATATATATATATATATATATATATATATATATATATATATATATATATATATATATATATATATATATATATATATAAACTACAGACGGTACCGTTTCGGCCTTGTGGGCCTCATCAGTGTAGTGCTGATGAGCAGGATGAAAGTAACTGCTATCACAGAAGAGAAATAGGGCAGAAGCTTCACTCGTGGGTAAAAAGTGTGCCAGAATGTCAGCCGATTTCCGGTGTGGCCGCCATGTTGAAATCAACCAAAGCAGAGGTAATTTTATAGGGAGTTAATATGGCGGAATACGAAATAGAGCAACTAAAAGTGCTCTAGCTTTTTATGTATCCAAGCAAAACTCATGATACTTTGAAATATCATAAAGAAGAGGTTGGTCTTTGATTTAATTGTAA